CACCCCACAAAAAATGGCACCCAATGGACCAGTATTGCAGCCTGCAGAAATAATTTATATATTTTGGAAAAGGACCCCAGACACCCTATGACAGCTTTGGTATGATGGTATGAAGTGACATCATACCATCTGGTATGGTATAACAGGACATGGTATGGTATGGTGACATGGTATTGGTATGGTATGGTAACATGGTATTGGTATGAGTGGGGTATGGTATGGGTTTTCCATTCCATGGTACCATGGTATTGGTATGGAGCTCATATACCACCCCGGAATGGGTACCCCCAAGGTACCCTAAATCAAGGAATTGATGTACCTCATAGGTACCCAAAAATGGGTGACTGAAGTGACTTTTCCAATTTTCATTTTCATGGATTTATTTATTTCAATCAGATTCAGAGACATTAGATTCTGCATGTTGTTCATCCAAACCCAAGTCTTCATCATCACCATTAATCTCCTGAGACTTTGCTTTGTGTTTCTGTTGAGTGAGGACATGCTTTGTGTGATAAAACAACATTGCATGTAAAAACCAGTTGAAATTGGCTCAAATCCACCAAGCCATGCATTCAATTGTTCACATACTTGGGTATTGAATGCTCGCTTAGCATGTGGACGACCATTGTCATCAAATTCAATGATGACAAGGTTTGGAGCTGAACCATCACCAGGAGAAGGATTGCAATATGTTCAGCAAAGAAAATCAGTTACACGATGGGTAATATAGTGGAAAGTATCAACAATAAATCTTGTTGTGTGTTTCCATATTGCATCCCAACTTCCATTGCTAACAGCAGTTCTAAAAACTTGACATGCTTTGTCAATACAGATATAGTCAGGGCGAGATTCTGGGGTTGGATAAACAGCCTCTAAAAAGCGCAAAATATTTGTTGTTGACTCAGACCTATCAAACTTTGTCCATGCAATTACAACACCACATGGTGCACAAATGGTTTCCACACAGTAGAATCATGCTGGACTAAAATAGTTAGGAGGTAAAGGTGGTTCCTCATTAGCATCATCATGGCACTGTGGGTTTGGTCCTCTTCTTTGTGGATTCCAAGGTTGAGCTTCCCCAGGCCTTTGTAACATTCTCTGAATACCTGAACAAGTTTGATGAGTTTGATATTTTGTAAATTTTTGCCACTCTGCCTGATGTCCTTCACATGCAGAGGTGTCTCCAAATCTGTCGTTTGTACAGTCACGTACAAGGCATCAGGACCCATATTCTTCATTGTGCACATCACACAATGAGGCACCATGAGAATTTGAAAGATCATTTACACAATCATCAATTGCACAATGCTATAAATGTCAAGTTAGTAATTATTATAGTCAGAATAACCTTTAAATGATTCACTGTTGGTCCCATAACAACTCCATCAAGTACAACCATTGTGACATTTCTTTTGTCAACATCCATATCATCATCAGAGTTATCCTGAGAGGTAGGAGATGCTGGGTGTGGTTGTGGTGGAACTCTGTTATCTTCTGCCAAGGGTGGTACAGCTTGATTTTCATCAACTCCCACTACAGCTGCAGGATCATTCATAACAGCATCACTAGCTTTTTTATATGGCTGACTACATTCACTGCATGCATGCTGATCTGCTGCTCTGATAATTCCCTGTTCCCCTAAAAGATCAAATGCCTGTGTGGTGACTTCTGTTATGTTCAAAGGATCATTGAGTTCTAGGTCAATCTTGGATTCTGCTGCAATTGTGCACAAAGAATCTTGTACAAAGGCCTGCCAAATGTGAGCACGGGATAGATTTGTTGACTTTGTTCCATAGGTAACATTCCAATATTGTGAATATGCAGAAGCAGAGCCATGGAAGCTATATATTGCATTGATCACAGAGCTTGAAAACAATCAATCCACCCATAGATTACTGCCAATTTTTAGATACTTTGCTGAGTTGAGGTAAACTCGCTTTGGTTGCTTAGCTCCACCAAACTCATGAAAAAATCGTTCATGATCTGCAGAATAAGATGTTTCACAATCTGGACATTTTGCTGTCAAAACTGAAACCTTTTTATAGATTTTGTGATCTTTAATCAATGTCACTGAGGGTATGTCACATTTCCGTGTGGCTTGCACCAGTGATCTGGGCTTACATGTTGCTGTTCCACACACTAGTGATCCTGGACATATCATATGAACAGGCTGAATAGCTTTCTGGGAAACAGGAAGTAGCTTTCCCATGTAAGCATCTTGGTCATCATATGGAGTTAAATTCAATTTGACAGCCATATCATTAAGCTTTCCTGCAACCAGCTTGACCTTGTCATGGGGGGTTGAATCATCCTCGTCTTCATCATTATATAAGAAAATAGCTGTGGAGCCCAATTGATCAATCAATGCCCTAGCTAAAGCAATCATCCATCCAGTGGTCTGAGTCTTGTTTTCACCTTGGAATTCTGGGTGTTGCTGTCGAAAATAGAGATTCAACAAGTCCACGTTTTCTGTAATTGTGCATAAAAGGGTCAAGACAGTTGCCAAAGAGATGTTAGATCCAAAGGTTGATTCAATAATTTGATTAAATGCAGAAAAAGATATATCTGGGAATGGGGTTTCAGTTCGTGCACCATGCACTAATGATGCCATCTGAAACCATATCAAAAGCCAGATTATAATCCAATGTTGACTCAACATAGAGAGTGTCATAAGACCAAAGCGAGTCAACCAAGAAAGAGCCACAAGGGAAAACCAAACAGAGCTACATTTACAAATTTTCACAATTTACATGTCAACGTAATAGTTCATAGGATAGAAACTTACACAGGTGAATTCTTCTTCGACTTTGCCTTTACCTTTGACTTCAACTTCAACTTTTTCCCTCCAGATGACTCATCTGATTCCTCCAAAGACTCCTTCCTCTCCTTCTTCCTTTTCTCCTGTTTAACACCTGACTTCTTTCCAGCACCTGAACTAGTAGCAGCCGACCTCTTTCCCTTCACCACATCTTTTCTTTTGAGCCATTCTGCCAAGTCCACAATAGTGTAATGATCAGGATCTTTGGTCTCAGCCCAAACTTCCGATTCAGATTCAGCATCTGAGCTGGCATCAAGCCATGCTTTCATCTGTGGATAATTTTGGGCACAGCTGAATAATGCCTTCCAGCTGGAGTAAAATTGACTTTTTGCGATGAAGACAGGAAACCAAGTCAACGAAGACAGGAAACCAGTGTTCAAGACCATGTTCAGTAAGATGGTCAGCCCACTCTTGGCTAGATCATAAACCTTGCATGGTTTTGGATGCATTTATCAATGCCTTGTACTTCAGATAAGTGTTGCAAAGGGTAGGAGTGAGTGAATGCAGATCCATAGAGATGTTCAAGAATGTAAAAAGTGCTTCCTTTTGAATGGTAGTCAGGGTAGATGGACCCTCAGAAGCTACTCGGCCACTCGATTGGCCAGATATCAACAAAGACTGGCGAACTGCAGCAGGCAAGGAAGGAGAACGAGATGACCTAGAATGAGACTTTGACAAAGAACTGGAGCGATGGGAGAGAAAAGATGGGGGAATAGCTGAAGCAACCTCAGGATCAGATTCCTAGTGCATATTAACAAAGCAGATTATATAAATAATATAACAGAACTTACAAGAAAAATGGTTAGAGTTGGCCCAAATTCAGTTTTTTGCCACAAGTGAACCACTGAATCTTGAAATGCCAAAGCATCCCTAAATCTACCCTTGACTATCCATTTGCATTTCTGCTGATCCAAAATATATACACGATCATTGTTATCTGTCAGGAAGATAATCAAAATTTAGATTAAAAATTGTATTTGAAGTACTTACCGGACATTGGAGAATAATACTTTGCAACATGTTGAAGAAGGGGTGCCAAAGCCCCTTCAAATGGAATTGTAACTGCGATGACAGCTGTTTCATAAATATCTACAGTGGTGGGTCGGGTATCGGAAGGGAATAAGTTGACAGTGCCCTCAATATCAATAGAAGTGTCATCCCCAGCTGCATCAAAATCACCGATGTTTGGGGCATTTCCAAGAGCCCTGCCACGAATAGTGGCTCCATATGGTTTAGATGCTCCACTAGATCTAACTAATTGAGAACCACTAGAACCTCCAATAGCCTTAACAATGCGGGCCCGGCCACGCTGAGATGACTGTCCATGAGGAGGACTGTGCATTTTCACATCCAAAATACTATCATCAGAAGCATCAACAGTAGCAGTGATAGGTTCACTGGGCTGAGTTCGCTTAGCTCTAGAAGGTGGACCTATGCGAACAGTAGCAGACATAATCTTGGCACTCTGGCCACCAGTATCATTATCAGAGTCAGAGTCACTATAATCCCCACTGACAGCCTGAGACCGAGAATTATTACTAGCATCATTGTCAGAGGTAGTATCAATCTTTGCAGCAGTCAGCTCAGGTTCACGATCAACACGAGTACGACTGCTAGAAACAGTAGGTCCAGGAGGCAGCACAGAACCAACATGTGAATGAGCAGGGCGTTCAGGAGGTGCAACAGAGGTGCCCGCAGCAAGTAGCTTTCGCTCAATCCTGTAAACCAATTATCCCATTAGTTATGAATTTTCAAATTAAAAAAACAGAATAAAACAAGAGAAACTAAAATACACACGGCTGAAGATGAGCAGGAGTGCCCTTGGCATTCTCAATTGTGTCTTCATGCTGACGATCAGCCCATGTCTTCCTACTGCAAGTGGTGAGGGAGCTAAAAGAGACAAGAGAAAAATAAACAAATACGTGTTTTTCCCCTTGGCCCCAGTTTTCTTCCTTTCCCCAGTCTTCCTCCCCTTCTTCCCCTTCTTCCCCCCTTTCTCTGCATCATTTTCCTCCTCCACAGCAATGGCAGCATCATCAACATCATCTTCACCATCATTCCCAACAGTCTTGATGTGTTTGGTAGCTGACTCGTCAGCATTGGATTGTTGTCGCTTCCGGCTGGTGGACTTGGGTTTGGTGGGCACAACAGGTAGAGCAGCAGTATGGTTGGCAGCTCATTGGTCACGGGCACTTATAGTTGGTGGTGGTTGGGAAGCAAGAGATGATATCAAAAGACGCCAACGTCAATCATGGGTCTAGGGTTCGGAAGGTTCTCCGAAGATACATAACCAAACAAATAAATAGGGTCCAGACTTGTCTGGACCCCATACATTAAAAAAATACATAACTATATGGTGGCCACGCCGCTGTTAGCGATGCGGCACCAGAGGGGAAGAATAAAAAAATATAAAAGCTCTACATAATATAACTAACTAAGCTAAAGAATAGATGACAACGACGAACGGCGAGCTCGCTGTTCGTCGTCTAGTTATGGCAACTGACCAGGTTTTCGTGTGGTCATGGCCTTCATGGTGATGTTGTTGTTGTTTGTAAGGACGTGGCAATCGTGGCATTTGTTAGCAATGTGGTTTGGGATGAAAATGGGGCGGGTTGTGCTCACCGCGATAACGCAGACAAGAACGACGAATGATGACATGGTCGTCATTCGTCGTTTGGTAACCACGTCGCTGTCAGCGACGTGGCCACTTGGATTCCCCATTGTGTCTGGGTGGTGGTCGTGTCATGTTGTGTTGTGGCCATGTCGTCTTGCGTGTTGTGTTGCACGATGGCGGCGTGTTGCATGGTCGTGGTCATGTCGTGTTGCGTGGTGGTCGTTGTGCTGTTGTCGTGCGTGTCATCCTTCGTGTGGTAACATGGCTAGTGGGCCGGGTTGTTCACTGAGTAAATAATGACAACAAACGACGACACCGATGTTGTTGTTCGTTGTCTGGTTCACGTTCACGTCAGCGGCGCCATGGTTCATGTAATAGAAAGGGACTGAGGTGGAGGGAACTCACATGATAAATGATGATGGTGGATGGTGAACAGCACCATCCACCGTCTGGTTGCCACGTCGTGTACTGCGACGTGGCACCTGAATTCCATATCCGACGCTGAGGTGGTATCTGCATATGTGTCAGAAAAGTAGGGGGAGTGGAGGGGTGCTACTTAGCTGGTACCCTGGCAGCACTTTCCATCCCTTGAATGACGACTCCTGGTTGTCGTTCGGGTCATCTGGTTAGCCCCGTGTATGGGCACAACATATGTCATCGCGTGGGCACCCATTTTCCGTGTGACATGGCATCACCTGGGTAGTTAGTGGGCGTATGGTCCTCATTTCATTGTGTGGGCGCTTGTGTGCTGTGTGACGTAGTGTTGGCATGTCATTCTTGCTGCGTTGGGGGGTGTAGTGGTCGTTAGGCGGTGGGCGACGAATGTAGATGGTGGTGGTGCTCAGCTCTTCGCGTGGGCGCTCGTTCGTTGTGTGATGTGGTGCTCGTTTGTCGTCCTTGCTGCGTTGTGGGGTGCAGTGGTCGTCGAGAGCAGTGGGCGACGATTGTCATGGGCGTTGGTGAAGGTGGTGAGGCAGCGACACTGGATCGGCGTGGACGATGGTGGTGGGAGAGGAGTAGGGTTGAGGGTTGTTGACAACACCCAAATCGAGTCTTGGCAAATGCCGACGCTTGATTTGTGTGGGCGTTGTCAGCGTTCCATCAACGGATTCCGTTCCGGATGCATTCCGGACATCATTCCGTCCGTCTGATTCCAGGAACCATTCCAGCGGAATCGGAATTCCGTTCTGGATTCCTCGGAATTATTTGATCAATTTGGCAGGGCCCTCTGCCAAATTTGATTCCTCTGGAATTCCGGGAATTGCCCGGATTCCGCCGGATTCCGGCAGGAATCGGTGGAGGACAATAAAGACCTCCATTTCTTCTCTATTGACCAAGGCATTAGCAACAAAATGGTGATCTTTCAATAAGAATACAAACTTTTCTGCCTCGATCCCTGAGTACCCACTGCCAGTTCATCAGTGCTTGAATCTCCAGTTTGTGAATCTGAGCTGTGAAAAGATGGTGCCATGTTGTGTTGTCCACCGTTTACTCCAGTAGTCCAGATACGGCCATCGCTAAGGCATGAGTCTCCAACTTTGCGCTTGAGGTGGGTGGAGTGTTGAAAGGTATCACGGATGGATAAAGGAGGGAAGCTGGTGTCCTTTGGTGAAAGTCCAACCACAATCATGACCACTCTTGATGCATTGTAGCTGGATATTGCTAAGTCACGGCGGAACTTGGCATCTGTGTCAATAATTTCAGTGGTGTCAGTTTTTGAGGGGTGTACATCTTGATTTTTGACCAGAGAAGCAATTTTTCACCTATATGAGAGATTGATCAGCTCGAGCGAATCAAATTGTTAGTGATTGTAACTTCACTGAAGAGATTGAATGTAGAGTGCTTCATTCAGGAAGGCGGCTCCCATAATTTCACTGCCATGGCTGGGCATGGATTTTGTTCCCAATGAGGGCTGATTACTTGATGCAATGTGTTCAGCTGCATTCTCCATTCCTAGTAAAAATTGGTAGATGGTTGCTTGAGAGGGAACTGGAAGGCTTGAATGTCAGCAGATGAAGGTGTTAGTTTGGAGGCGAGAACTCCAACCTTTACCCGGATTGTGTCGGTAAACACATTCAATCTCCTTTTTTTTGTTGCGAAACCGACTTTGATGATCATCCTGATTCCATATGGCAATCCTATCTGAGTACATAGCAGAGAGGCTACGAAAGTGCTCATGCTTCTGGATGAACAACATTTTGGCATTGGTGATATTGGTATAGAGCAATGCGGCTAAGGTAACGTCAGTCTCATGTCAATGAATATGATGGAATGTTGCTTCATACACATAATAGCCGTCTTCTTCCAGTTCCAGTCGCTGTGGTGATTGATGAGAGTGTCTCAGTGATGGCCATTGTTCATCTGTCGTCCGAGCTGGTTGGACTCGGCCCAGTAGTGTTCTGCTGTTTCACCATGAAAGTGGCTGGCGTTCAGAATGTAGGCTGACACAAAGCAATACATGCAGTTGTCCTTGTGATTTTGTACATGGACGAGTGGGATGAGCCAGCGAATTTGTTCTATATCGGAGACAAGATCTGGGAAGTGTTGTTGAAAGTGGTCAACAGCCTTAACCCAATAAGCACAGGATATGTCATAGGAAACCAGGTGGTTGCAGCTTGTGAGGAAATCAGCATCAATAGTTGTGGTACCCCGGTTCCAATGTTGCCTTATTGAATGAGCAAGGGCATAATCTGTATTTGCAAACCTGCCATCACAAGTTAAGACTTTATACAGGCCTGAGGAGCAACACATACTTTTCGCCAAGTTGAAGGTCGACACTTGATTTGATGAAAACATGCAGGCATTGGATGTTCACAATCCCGGTGATGTCCATGTTCTTGAATTTCTTTCTATTTTGCTTGTTGACAGCATTGAGGTGAGCACAAGCTGTTTTCTATGACATGGGTGAGTCGCCAGAATATCCCTGAGCAAGTAAAGACCAATTACCTCTTCCGGTGGAGCAGGCTTCTTTTGTAAATCCAGTAGATACTGCTGGTACTCTGCTTCATCAGGAAAATAAGCCTTTCCTGTGAAAAGTGAGACATCATCGGGATCAATGTTCTTCGCAAACTTGTTTGCATGGTGATTCCAATCTGCCGTGTCTTGTGTTTGATTTAAATGGCTAATCAAAATCAAGATGTATAAAAGTCAAAGTGTCATCATATTTTAGTATAAGACTTACCAAAATTCAGCTGGTGTTTGCTTCCACCCTATCTCCATGTTAAGTCCAAGCTCCGGACACGAAGGGCAGTATACCATCAGGTTCCCCAGAGGACGATCAGATAGGAGCCGATCAATCCCATGTGCTTGTCCGAGACACTTGGTAGCCGTGATTATGCGATAGACCCACATGACGGACGGAACTGAGAGTAAGGGTTCTTTGATAGGTTGTATGAATATTGGGTAAAGATGACAGAGGTAGTAAGCAACTTACTGCAACTTCATGTGCAAAGGCGTTGTCAGTCAGTCGCTGTAAAGCGCCGATGAAATCATATGCTGATTCTTTCGATTCTAAGTGATGAATGTGAAACTGCTTGAGAATGTTGAATGTAAAGGCCATAGTTGGCCTGTCGACAGTTGCTGGAAATAGCCTTTCTTTCATGAGCTGATCCACCTGATCCACATCAGCACAACCACAGAAGCGGATTTTTGTCTCATGGATGCCATCGGTGTCGATGGCCTGGAAGAGGATCATGCTCTGACTTGCTGGATTGGGGCAGGATGCACTGTGATGACCAAGCTGGTGTGCATAGCCTTCAGGTCGCAAACGCGAAATGTCTTGACGAACAAAAAAGAGCTGTTCCTAAATGGGAGAGCATGGTGTGCAATGATATAACACTCCGCACATGATGTGCTGTAGGCTGTGCAATCATCACACTGAACTAGATGCTTGCCTTTGCCGCAAGAGCAGGTGTCGGAGGCGACAAGATTAGCCTCATGAATGAGCATATTCTGAATGAGACATGGGATGATAGCAATGAATGATTCTAACAGTTTCGAGGTCTAAAATCATGAGTGAGACAGGCGACCTTTCACAAGATGAAACTTACCTGTGTTTTCTTCCTCGAAAAGTCGTCCTCTGGCTGGGATGACTTCATTTCGTCGGGTTGTAAGCTCTCGGAAGGCAGTGGTGTCAAATCTTGGGGCAAATGTCGAGCAAGGAGTTGAGGTATGTTTGGGAGTGCAAATGTTGTGGTTTCACATCCTGCGTTAGTTGTAATGTTGTGTGTGGCAGGATGAGATTGTTTCATGGTGTGCATGTTTGCCTCGTCCCAGATTCCAGCGAGTGCTGCATTTCTTTTCTTCAAATTGATGTGTTTCACTTTGCTTACAAGTGGATAACAAGTCATTCAAAGTGGCCAGTGGCCAGGGCCACCACTGGTTCCTGTGCAGATTAGGCCACCAATGATATGTGTTGCATGGGGATGACCATGTAAGTAGTGTTCGCAAGTTCAGTTCAGTCCGGTTTTTTGCCCCCAAAACGCGCAACCGTGGACCGCAACCGGTCTAGGACCAACCCAGATATTGAGGGAACCGAACCGAACCACCTAGGACCGGTCTATTTCGGTCTATGGAGCCGGTTCAGACCGATCCAGACCGGTTTTTTTGCGTATAATTTATTATACCAATATAAACCATTTGTATCTTGACTATTATTACTCTGAAAAATAAACGGGTTATATGAAATAGTAAAGCATGTAAATACCCGTCATTCTACCAATTTTGAAGAGATTTAATGAAGATTTGACATAGCTATAACTGAAACCGAATTACATCTCGTAGAGACTCGGGTAAAATATGGATTTGGTTATATCTTTCTCAATTCTTAACCGTTTTTGATGAAACAAAAACCCAATAAAAGGTAATAAACGTGGTTACAAGGGTATGTAACGCACGTGACCGTTTAACCGGTTGCAACCGATCAAAACCGGTCTTTGAACGGTTTTAATATATTTTCGAAATGAGGCAACCGGCAACCGGACCAACCCCAAATTGGGGCAACTGCAACCGAAAAAAAGACCGGACCATGGTCCGGTTCAGTTCGGTCCACCGGTTTTTTGCGGTCCTATGGACTGAACCTTTAAACACTACATGTAAGTGTAAAACACACAAACAAGGATCAAGCTTGTCGGGAAAACCCTAAACACCGTATTGTCTTTGGCATGGAGATAGAGCAGCAGAACATGTAAATACAAGAGCAAGAACATGGATAGGCATGGAAGCAATAGCACAAATAATAGACAAACATCTGACACTAGCTGATAAAATGACATTATTCCTAGCACTGAGTATACACAGTGGTGGTTTGAAAGATTGAAGAAGTTGAATTGTCACATGCAACTACTATTGACAAGTATGAAAAGGAGTCATGTGACACAAAAGCTTAGCAATGGAAAGTAAATAATGTAGAAGATGGATAAGTATGAAGATCCCATATCTGCCAGCCATGCATGGCACCCACCTCTGCAAAGATGCAAGGAGCAATCTCAAATCTTGCTAAAATACACCTGCATCTGGTCTCTTTCCCTCATTATTCCTCTCTTTGGATTGATCAGTGACTGAGATCACAGCTGGGTCATTGTCATTCCAGCTCACTATACGACTTTCATTGACAGCTCCCACATTTAACACACATATCATCCATTAGACCACACAGATTTGGAATACCACTAGAGTAAAATTAGAACAAATAGGGAGATGATGATGGGGTAATGTTTACATGGTCTGTGCACATTTCCTAATATAGTAATTACTAAGAATATAGCCAAAAAGTCAGAAAAATGAGAAAAGAAAATCACATAATGGAAATGGTTATTGATAATGTTGATGTATTGTTTACTTGGTCTGATTTCATCTCATAGACACCTATTTTTTCTGATAAATACATCATATAGCTATTCATATTGTATATCATGTGGTATAATTGTATGATTTGACATGTGACATCAGCATGTGATATGATAGTCATGTGATATGATGGTCATGTGATATGATGGTCATATGACATAGTGATGTGATGTGATGTGATGTGGTCATGTGATGTAGTCATGTGACATGGCATATGATGTATCATGTAATAAAACTATGTGATGCAGTCATATGATCTCTTTTTCCAGCCAGCAAAGATTTTAGCACTTATCCAGTATTTATACCAGGACAGTCCCTGTGACTACTAAAATTGCAAAATAAAGAAAGTATTGCATTTTCACATAACAAATTGTGATAAAATAAGAAATAAATGGAGGTAGTGCTCACGATTAGTAATAATATTAAGTACCATCTACATGGTGTGTGCACCTTTCTTAATATGGTAATTAATATAAATATATCCAAAAAATCAAAGAAAAAGAAAAAAAGTAATAGGGTGTTATTGATGGTCTGTGCACATTTTTTAAGAAAGAATTATATGCAAAAACCAGAAAGAAAAAACAAAAGGAATAGACTGTTGTTGACAACATTGGGGTACTCTTTATATAGTTTGTCACAACATCAGAAAAAAGAGAGGAAAAAAGAATAGACTGTTGTGGACATATTTTCAAATAGAGTAACTAATAAAAGATAGTTAGACATAGGAATGGATTAAGAACAGAAATTAGAAAATAATAGTAGGTAGTAATCACAATATACTTCAAAAAGAAAATGAAGGTGCAGCCCCTAAAAGGGATAATAATACTAATAGGCAACAAAAATTAGTGATAGCCCACAAAAGTTAGTTTTAGATTATTCCTATTATAGTCCGAATTCTGGTGGCTTCTAGTCATTCCTTTGGTGGGGGCATCTTGGAGCTGGCTCTGTCTGACACAATCAGTTTGAAATGGATTAGCTACAGACATTAGTTAAAATTCAGTAAGTAGGGCTGGTCTATTATAGACAATTATCAATATAAAGTCAACATAAGAGCAGTCAGTAACAACCTTTATCATGTGATGAAGCAGAACTTAGAGGCTATAACTGTATAACAAATAGGTGAATTACCAATAGATACAGTTGTATGAAATATATAAACTGCATTGGAGGTTCGAGGGATACTTCATTGAGGTGTTCTGGTGGGCCAACTCTGCCAATCCAAGAGGTTGCAGGTTCTTGAGGAACAGCATTTCTTCACAGGGATTGCAAAATATTGTCTTCATGAAGCCCTTCCCAATCAACTTCAAAAACCTCAAGCTCTTCCCCAGTCATATTATCACTTGGATCTGCCCCAAGTTGGCTTCCCCGTATACCATGCACCAACATATCAAATCCGAATAGATCTGCAGGAGAGCGATTAGGACCATTCCGAATTTGAATCTGATGCTGGTTCCATGACTCAGCAAAAAAAGTGAGCTGCTGGTTGATGGTTGGAAGAAAAAGAAGATGAAGAAGCCAAATATAATGGGTGTTGTTGATGTCCAGTCCATGGTGCAGTTCAAGCTGTGTGAAAGCTTCAGCCCATGAGGCACCCACTTGTGCTGTAACATCCACCCAAAGTCTCTCAATCCGGACATTATGTACACTCCTGTAAGTCATGATGTCAATAATAGTATTTATGAAAAATTGTTTGTTGACATATACCTGCCCCAGATGTATGATCCACACCGTTCACCATGGTTTGCTTCCATCCATGCAGCAAGAAGAATATTTTCAACACCATGGTCACCTCTTATCCAGGATGGGACACCAAAGAGTCGAGCAGCCAGAAGAAAAAGGGTGAGAACAGTTTGGCCACGGTTATTATCACTGGCCTGTAAAGCTGTAATTAATCGGGAGTATCCATCAATGAATCCATGAATAACAATTCCCCAATGGATGAGACCTGTCTCAATATCAGAATCTACACTGTATAAAATCAATGTACCCATACCGTGCTGTCCATCATGGTGCCAAAGTGAGTTCAGACCTGGAACTGAATAGACATGCCTGTGGATCTGGATGTGTTCGAAAACCCGCTGCACTGGATCAATACAGGTAAGGCATTGCCTGATCCGTTCCTGTTGAATGTGGTGTCCTAATCGGTGCAGCATCCCATCAAGCATGGTAATTCCAGCTCGACAATAGTGACTTCTCAGCCGCAAAATTAGTTCATCAAGTTCACCATCTGTAATTGAGGACAAACGGCCTGTATATGAACTTGCCTGCATGGTATCACTAATGCCAGGCTCTGCTGATAGGGATGTTGGGTTGATATCAGATGGGAGTAGGGATGGGATTGGAAGATTGGGACTGAGAAGAGGATCCAAGTCATCAGATGAGGAAGTCGGATTAATGTATCCATCTGCAGTAAGATCTGGCACTGAGTCTCCTTCAGCAGAGGAGTTATCTAGAAAAGGGTTCTGTTGTGGACTTGTAATGCCATATTCCAGTAGAGCATCACAGACAGTTTGCTGGCTAACACCAATAAATCTACTGATGCTCGATGTTGAACGCAGTGAATAGGCCCAGTGAAGAAAATCAGGATCAATAACAATAGCTGGCCTTCCAGGTCGACCAGTATGAACCACTTCAACTATGGTTGGATGCCCATGGTGTGATTCATTCAAGGCTTCATTGTGTGCCTGGCGAATATCATTACACATGAGGGCAAGGTTGGTCTGCAAGAGCTGAAGCTCAGCTGGCTCAAAAATGGAGCTATACTATAATAATTTAAAGGGTTACTGGTGCTTAAGAAAGTAGCAGGTAAAGCAACTCACTTCAACCACCAGAGAACTGTACTCATCAAGGTCATTGCCAAGGCATGCAAGAATGTTTGAATCAGTTGAATTCTGAATAGCCTCCCTAATAGCACTATGAAAGCAGTGGTAATGGGAATGAAATGCAGTCAAGAGAGGTTCGTTCTGGGCTTGCATTTGCTGCACAGTGGGAGAAAGAGAAACTGCGATCAACAATGGTCACATGTGACATGAAACCAAGGATTCACACACCCTCTACAGCCCCATAGACAGCATTGACTCAGCACAGTTTTCTAACAATTCTGTTGAAAGAGTATAGTGCAATGGACCAGATATATAATGGTGGGTGTGCTTCTTTGTCTGGAAATTTATTCAAACCATGCATTCAGAACTTGAAGCTGAAGGTGCCACATCATCACTGACACATTCCATCTCCTGCACAGCAGTTGCCATTTTACACAATGGAAAGATCGAATCTGCTCACCTGGGATTTAAACATACCTGCTAGCTATTTCACTGACTGGAGAGGGGTCAAATCGATTATGCTAGGAACTCTACTGCAGGCAATCGTCTCCCAGTCACAACTAGGTCATGTTGCACAGACCTCGGTGCATCTGCTCACATTTCTCTCTGGGGCATCAGTTTCTGTTGATGTTGCTACCACAAGAGTCCCTGTCTTTGACTCAGCTATTCAATCACCTGAATATGGCTTTCGGGTTCTACATTCCCTCAGATCTACCGATTTTCAGGCTATGCATCATACAGGTGCATCAATTGATATAGCCAATGAGATTCTTGCTTTGGATCCCCTTCACACTCTTTTGGCAGCTTATGGCCGTGTGTGGGCACCCTTTGATATCTATCTTCCCCATCATTTCATCATTGTCTTCATGGTCCCAAGCTCAGCACAATTTCCTGCTATCTTTCCAGCTCCATCCACCCAAACTGCACAGATTGGTAGCCAGAATTTACTGGGCTATCACTCTTCACATGTTCCTCATATGGATCATCCTTCTACAGAATTCTCTTCGTCTTTGCTGTCTCTCACATCTGAATCATACAGCCACAGCCCTTCACCTATTCCATCAATAGATTTTGCTACATCTGGACCTCAGGCTTCTCCATCATTTAGCCTGGATTTTGAAATGACCCAGTTCTTGGCAGAAGATTCTACTGCAGGGAATCAATACTTATCACTCCTCCACCGATTCCTACTGGACTCCTACTGGACTCCTGGATTCCTACTGGATTCCTACTGGATTTTAACATTCTTTCCAGAAAAGCATTTTCACATATGTCTTAATTCCCCCTCCTACTGGACTCCTACTGAACTCCTACTGGACTCCTACTGGACTCCAATTGAACTTAAACAAAGTGAATGCAATGTTTCAGAGATGGGATTCCTACTGGAGTAACCACTTTCTACCTTATGCCACCTTAAAAGTTCATACAAAGCTGATATTTGAACATAGAATATTATATTGATAACTATAGACATAATTATATACAAAAAGTATTTTACTAGGGAAGGGGGTAGAAGGAAACTCTGTAAAAGTCATTTAAATTGACTACTATGTTAAGGTAGACAGTACATATGTTTACCATTGACACCAACCTTTTCAAAGATCTGCATGACACCTGCGATACCATCAAGTGGCACACAGATTTCTGTATGCCCCTTGGGAAGCAAAGCCAAAGGCTAAGAATCCTTATACAGAGCTGGAAGGTGGTAAGTCCTTTTGCTGTTATTTCACTAAGATTTCTTGAAGGTACAACACTCCAGGATGTTCAACTTGCACTGGCAAAGGAGGAGGAAGCTCAGGTTGCACTCGGAGCCAGACAAAAGGGCCAAAGACCAGCAAACAGCTGCACTTCAGTCACCCACTGACCACTGACTCATACAGAAATCTGTGTGCCACTTGCGGTCACCTGGGGACTGCCCACTCACAGGTGACCACAAGCGTCTCGCAGATACTCCAAAGGATCGCAGGTATTGCAGGTGTCATGCAGATCTTTGAAAAGGTTGGTGTCAATGGTAAACATATGTACTGTCTACCTTAACATAGTAGTCAATTTAAATGACTTTTACAGAGGTTGCATGCAACAATGAAACCACGTTATGGGCTGACAGGTGACTGCTTAAACACAGTTCGTTTACTGCAAGTCACATCATGTGTAACACATTCAACCCTTCTACCACCCATCCATCTCTGCTCTACGAGGTCTTGTCTCTCCCCCACATGTTCTGATCAGAATTAATATTCCTCCTTTCCCAGCCATTTTGGCTGGAAAGCAGCTCAGCAATGGCCCCACTCAGAGTTACTCAGCACTGATCAGTTCACTCAGTGCTGAGTCACTGAAATGCTGAGTGATGCTGAACAGAACTGAGTGATGCTGAACAGAACTGAGTGATGCTGAACAGAACTGAGTGATGCTGAACAGAACTGAGTGATGCTGAACAGAACTGAGTGATGCTGAACAGAACTGAGTGATGCTGAACAGAACTGAGTGATGCTGAACAGAACTGATTAGTACTGAACAGAATTGGGTAGTACATGAGTATTACCCTTGTTATTATACTAATAAAAAATAAATGCATGGACAAGGATTGAACCCAGGCTTTCATAGATGGATCACATGATCACAAAAGCGCAATATTACCACAGGGCTATCTGACTGTTTAGAACATTATAATATATAACCCATCGTCACCGCTGGCTTTCCTCAATGAGTCTCAGCAAACACTGACACTTGATTTGGCATCATCAACACACACACTCTTCTTCCTCACCCACCACCATCATCCACAACACCCATCACCACGTCACCATGCCACCACTCCAATGGACAACGACACACCAACAGACAATGACACACCAACAGACAATGACAATGACGATGGACGACAACACAACAACAACAACAATGGACAATGACACATCAGCAACAATGACAACGGCCACACATCAACGGACGATGATGACGGCCACATGTCAATGGATGACAACAATGGACGACGACAATGACACATCAAATGAGCACCATCCAAGTAAAAAACACTCACAGTCCTGGTCCAATCCTGATCCACCAGTCCAATCCTGGTTCAGTCCTTGCCTGAGGTAAAATTCAGCCCTCAAGACTGGTTTGAGTCCTGCCCAGCTCAGTCCTGCCCCTCCTGCCAACTTTTTCCTTCCCTACCTTCAGTAGATTATGATATCCTGTTCCAACCTGTGAGATGGTATGCATTCTATGATGAAAACTCAGAACTTGTTCATCCATATCTGCATATTTACACTCAAGGTGATCTTGTACTGCTCAACTTCATGGGTTTGATGAGCCCGACATCTGGCCCATGAAAAGAAAACAAGAGTTCAATTGAAACATAAGTCACCAGGTGAGATGCAGATGGGGAGGCAGGGGAATGGGATGTCCTCCTGCATGTCCTCACTCATTTTCTGGCCTGTTCAGTCTGTACCACAGAGATACATGTTTGAAAACAATAAATTGAACCAAGATATTCAGAATTGTGGGGATGTGCCACATCCTGCAGGTGAATAAAAAAGGAAATTTTCCTTATTTGGTAAGACATAGTAAGATTCTTTTCCTCCACTAGACCCATTCTACTATATAAGGAGATAAGCTGACAAATAATCTCCCTATTTGGTAACCTCCTTGGCTCTGTCCTTGGCTCTATAACACTCTGCATGTCCCTCACTCCAGGTGTGACCATTTCTATAAAAAGCAGCCATTCAACTTTTTCCAATCAAAAGTGCCTTATTTGTGCTCCTTGTAGTTACTACCTCTTTTGTTTCCCTCAAGTTCCATGAAAATAGTGTTGCAGCTATTATACTTCCCCCATGTCCCTCTGGCTGTGTCTTTTTCAAAATGTGAGAACAAACTACTAAAACCTACTCACCTGTAATCTTTCAAAATATTATCCCAATATTAGTGGTAAATAATTTTTCTGCATTAATAGCCAGTGCAACTGGCAGCATTTCAAAGTTGGTGCCACTTATATACAATTTATGAACCACAACTCTGCTCAGTCCTCGATTATGCCATTATTCTGTGTCATGTGGGGGTATTCCCAGCTATGTGTACTAATCAAAACTCATACCCTTGGGGTGTATGGTGGGAAGAGAGTGTGGTGAGAGGGATGTAGGGCAGAGTGTGTGGTGGAGAGGGGTGGAAGGCAGAGTGTGTGATAGAGAGGGATGAAGGGGAGGGGGGAGGGCATGGTGGGATGGTGGGGTCAGAGAGAGGAAGAGTGGGTTGGAGAGGAGAAGTGAGGGAAGGGGGTTGATGGAGGGAGGGTGAGTGATGGAGGGAGGGTGAGTGATGGAGGGAGGGTGAGTGATGGAGGGAGAGAGTGTGATGGAGGAAGAGGGAGTGACAGAAGGAGGGAGAGACAATGAGAGGGTACTCACCATGGTGCCCTGGAAATCAATGATGTCCTTCGACGTGGCACCTGGATTCCATCATGATATGTTGGTGGTCGCCTTCATTTGTGGGTGCTTGGTCATCTTCATGCAGGGGGCAGTTGTTTTCCTATGTGGGCAGTCATTTTCCTTTGTGGGGGGTCGTTTTCATCCATGGGCCGTTATTGTTGTTCATGGGCATGGCACTTGCATCGTGTTGTGTCCCCTTCGTTGTCATCCCATGGCATCGTCATCATGGCCTTGCTCTGTGTCATTGGCATGTGGGGCAAATGGTGTCACATTGCTGCCACTGGCAGCAGCATGGCACCTGGGTTCCATATGTTTCTGTTTGTGGGCACCCGCAGTCATTCTGGGATAGTGGTAGCTGGTGGTGGGCATTTTGAGGTGATGGTGGTGGTTTTCATGGGTGGTGGCAGCCGTTTTCATGTGTGGGCATCCATTTTCATGTGTGGGCGTCCATTCGTGGTTGTCTCAGGGCATTTGTCATCGTTTGGGCAGTCCACCTTCATTTGTGGGTGCACGTCTTTGTTGTTTGGGTGGTTGTGTCAGCGAGGTGGTCATGGGTTGGTGTTGGTGTTGGTGTTGGGCATTGTGTTGTCATTGTTGTGGATGGCATTGTTGGGTTGTTGTGGTGGTGGTTGAAGAAGAAGAAGTGATCTCACATGCTGTGACATTACCGTGATGTTTAACCTCGCACATGAGATTACCTGTATGAAGTCATGTGACCTCTTCACTGCACCCAATCTCCAGTCCTGGCTGAGGTGAAATCTCAGTCCTCAGGACTGGCCTGAGTCCTGCAGAGCTCAGCTGTGACCCTCCTGCCAACTCCGGCAGAGCTCAGCAGGAATCACAGGGGGACAATAAAGACCTCGTTTCTGGCAAGACTTTTCTCTGTCTATCATCTGTACAAATACATCAATGGCTGCTACAATAATCAGGAAAGTCAAAGTACAAATTATACGAGAGTTGAGAAAAGAGAGTGCAAGACAGACTGAGCACAGAAAAAACCTAATAAGATGGCCATAAACCGTTATCTTCTTCACCATCGAGAATCAGAAGGAACGGAATGGCACTGGAATGCAGTGACATGAGCACTAAAAATTGCCAAATATGGTAAGTTTTGTATTTTCAGATAAAATTAGCAATAAAATGAGAAAAAAATAAGGATGGTGGTAATGATGTTGGGGTACTGTTTGCATCATCTGTGCGCATTTCCTAATATGGTAATTAATGCAAATATAACCAGAAAATCAGGGAAAAAGAGAAAACAAATAGGGATGGTGCTCACTATTGGTGATGTTGGGGTATTACTTACATGGTCGGTGCGCATTTCCAAATATGGTAATTAATGCAAATATAGCCAGAAAATCAGGAATAAAGAATAAAGATGATGTAGACTGTTGTTGACAATGGTGAAGTAGTGTTCACATGGTCTGTGCACATTTCCAAATGTGGTAATTAATGCAAATATAGCCAGAAGATCAGAAAAGAAGGGGAAAAGGTATACATATGTTACATTTTCTTCAGACATTTACATTCCTACCATGGTTGTTTTTTCTGATGTCCCATTGCTCTGGACACCTCAGATTTTCCCAGAACATTCATGCAGCCATCCAGGGTTGTTTTCAGATGTCCTCTGTATATTAAAACTGATTCTCTGGACATTTCACATTTTTCCAGGACATTCATACCACTACACATTTTCCCAAAACATTTATGCAGATGCTTTTTGAATGTCCTTTGTATCTTGAAATAATGCTCCGGACCTTTCACATTTTTCCAGCACATTTATACCACTGCCAGGGTTGTTCTTCTGATGTTCTGTGTTGTTCTTCTGATGTTCCATAGATAATCACATTATTGGTCTGGACATGCATTTCCCCAAAACATTTATGAGAGTCTTTGTGGATGTCCTTTGTATATTGAAACTAATGCTCTGGACATTTCGCATTTTTCCAGGACATTTAAACCACTGCCAGGGTTGTTCTGGTGATGTCCCATAGATAATCAAGTTATTGGTCTGGACATTTCGCATTTCCCCAAAACATTTATGGGGATGCTTTTTGGATGTCCTCTGTATATTCAAATTAATGCTCTGGACATTTGTCCAGACATCCAACATTGCCTTTTCAATGTCCTGTGAATATTCAGATTATTGCTCCAGACCTTTTGCATTCCCCTCGGACATTTATGTGGCTACCATGATCTTTTTTTCTGATGTTGCTGGGATAATAATATTAATGGTCCTGTGGGATGTTCTATCAAATGTGGTTCACACCTGAGCCATTTTCGGATGTCCCATAAATATCAAAGTTGATAGCCTGGAGATGTCACATTGTCCCAGAACATATATATGGATGCGAGGGATGTTCTCCTCAACATTTCATCGATCCCTGGCACATTTATACAGGTCCATGGGATATTGTATTCTGTAAACTCTTTTTTGCATGTTTTCTGGATGTCAGAAGTGAT